CTGTGGTCCCAGCTACTTGGGAGGCTGAGGCAGGAGACTCGCTTGAGCCCAGGAGTTGGAGATTGCTGTAAGCTGTGATGCCATGGCCCTCTACCCAGGGGGATAGCTTGAGGCTCTGTCTCAAAAAACCCCCCAAAAACATAAAGGCTCAAAAAGATGGTCTGGATGGAGGTGCTGAGTATTTTAAAAAGGTCAGCACTTTCCAAACTGGATTATAGGTTTGACATAATTTAGGTCAACACTTCAATGGGATATTTTTAAAAGTTTAATTAAAATTATTGTAACTTACAGTGGAATCTTTAAAAGCTTAACAACGTTATTCTTTTTGTTTTTGATTTTTTTTTTTGAGACAGAGTCACATTTTCTTGCCCTCAGTAGAGTTCTGTGACATCATAGCTTACAGCAACGTCAAACTCTTCAGTTTAAGTGATTTTCTTGCCTCATTCTCCCAAGTAGCTGGGACTACAGGCACCCACCACAACACTAGGCTATTTTTAGAGACAGGGTCTTGCTCTGGCTCAGGCTGGTCTCGAACCTGTGAACTCAGGGCAATCCACCCACCTTGGCCTCCCAAGTGCCGGGATTATAGGCATGAGCCACCGAGCCTGGCCTGACAACACTATTCTTAAATTTATTTAATATAGTACACAAGTGAGACGCACAAAGAAAAAAATGCAAAAACAAGAGTAATTAGGAGAGTCTATCCCTGTTTGGTATTACCCACATTTCACAAAGCACAGTAATTTAAACAAGGGGGTATTTGTGACAGCCAGAATGGAAATGTTTGGTTTTTTTTTTTTTGAGATAAGAGTCTCACTCTGTTGCCCCAGGCTAAAGTACAGTGGCATGATCGTAGCTCATAGCAACCTCAAACTCCCAGTTTAAGCAATCCTCCTGCCTCAGCTTCCCGAGTAGCTGAGACTAGACGTGTGCACCACCACACCTGTCTAATTTTTCTATTTTTAGTAGTGATGGAGTCCCACTCTTGCTTGGCCAGGTCTGGAACTCCTGAGCTCAAGTGGTCCTCTGGCTTGGTCCCAGAGTGCTGGGATTACAGGTGTGAGCCATTTCGCCCAACCCAGCATGGAAACTGACCAAGTGAATAGAATAGACATACCATTATTGGCTTCAATTACCTGAGATGATTAAAGCTCAGCTACTTAGGATAATTATTTAGTTGCGTCAGTATTTAAGCAGGAAAATTTTGTCAGCCTAAAAGAGTAAAATATGACCTTTTAATGAATTTGATTCAAATTAGCCAATACTTACTTTAAGCTTAAGAGCAGGGTGGAGTTATCACTGTTTAATAGTCCTATATCAGGGCAGATTCCCAGAAACTACTTGATTTTATCCTAGAGCTGGCCCAGAGATAGTGGCTCCCCTCTGGAACAGTAATCTAAGATTGTTGGACTGTCCTGTAGCAGTGTCTTTATTGTGAAAAAGATCAAAAGAGTCACAGTATGCTCCTTAGTAAGACCAGTGAGACAGAAGTTGTTTTTTCTCTTTTAGGGTGAAATAGTCAAAAAGTATACTCAGTTCAATCCTAAAACCTATGAAGAGAGGATTAATTTAATCCTACAGATGTGTGTGGAAGCTGCAGCAGAAGCTGTAAAACTGAACTGCAGGATTTTGGGAGTAGGTAAGATTGCAAATTATATATCCAAGCAATGTTCATTTTAATATACAAAATCTACTAGGTTTTGATATATGACTGAATATGAAGTCCGTGTGTGCCCTGTGTATAGATGGCCCCAGGTCCTGGCTGTGGGCTCCAAGCATGGAGTCCTTCTGGGGTGCCAACAAGTATTGTGGGAGAAATTTGGGTTTTTTTTTCTTTGAGATACAGTCTCACTCCATCTCTGGGTAGAGTGCCATGGCATCATCATAGCTCACATCAACCTCAAACTCGTGGGCTTCAGTGATCCAGCCTCTCAAGTAGGTAGGAGGCACCTGCCACAATGCCTGGCTAATTTTTATTTATTTATTTATTTATTTTTTTGGAGACAGAGTCTCACTTTGTCACCCTTGGTAGAGTGCTGTGGCTCATAGCTCATAGCAACATCAAACTTTGGGCTCAAGCAATTCTCTTGCCTCAGTCTCCCAAGTAGCTGGGACTACAGGTCCCCACCTCAATGCCCAGCTATTTTTAGAGACAAGGTCTCGCTCTTGCTCAGGCTGGTCTCAAACTCCTGAGCTCAAGCAATCCTCCTTGGCCTCCAAGAGTGTGAGGATTACAGGCGTGAGCCACCACTCCCGGCCTTAGGAGAAATATTGATAGCTCTATAAATCTGTGAGGAGATTTAGCTTAGAACAGCCTGATATTTCCTTGAAGTCTTGTGAATGTTTGTCATAGGAGATCTGGGGTGAATAAATTTATGTTCTGAGCCAGGAAAGTTGGCATACTTACTTATGATTGCTAATTGGAATTATTTTCCTTGTGTTTGCATAGGCATTTCCACAGGTGGCCGTGTAAATCCTCGGGAAGGAATTGTGTTGCATTCAACCAAACTGATCCAAGAGTGGAACTCTGTGGATCTCAGGACCCCTTTGTCTGACACTTTGCATCTCCCTGTGTGGGTGGACAATGATGGCAACTGTGCCGCCCTGGCAGAAAGGAAATTTGGCCAAGGAAAGGGACTGGAAAACTTTGTTACACTTATCACAGGCACAGGTAAGCTGGCAGGGGAAGGCTGCTTTAGGTGGTAGAATGTCTGTTGGGGCATGTCTTCACCACTTAGGCAGTTACAGCTCTGCCTTAGCTTTCACTTCCTGCTTGAGTAGAGCCTGAGGGTCAGCCTCCGGTGAGAGAGCGTAGGGCCTTCTTCGGTCTTTTTCCAAGCACGTGCCCAGCCCTAGGCATGCGTGTTGTCTTCTAAATTCCCAGGAAGTTGTCAGAACTATTCAAAGCTCTTGTTCCCCAAAGTTTCTTATTTCATAGCTTTTCCTCCTGGTCTTTTTGGCTCATCTATTATATGCTCTAACTGTTAGCCTTTACTCTAGGCAGCAGAGATTAACACATTTTACCTTTAAATGTTCTTGACAAACCCCCATCCCTCAACCGTCAACCCTTGAGCAGCACTGGGATAGTCCCCAGTTCAGTGAGATAAAAGCAAGCCCTTTGAACTGTTTCTCCAGGAAGCTATCAGGTAGATCAAAACAAACACTGAACCATAATTTTTTGAGTGTAAGTTCATCCTGCTCCCCCAGGTACTAGTGTGCAGACTGGTGTTTCTATACTAATACTGGGAATATGGGCTTGTTGTTCAGGGTCACTACTACCAAGTTGGAGAATGGGTGATGGGACCATGGTAAGTTAAAATACCAGAAAGCTCTCTTATCAAAATTAGCTGGGTTTTTTTATTTTTCTTTTTTAAATTAAACATTCTAATTGTTGCAAACTTTTGGTTAGTTCCCAGAATCCAAAAATGTTGATTCTGACAGTTTTGCCAGCTTATTCATTGCTTTAGTGGCAGGATGGACTTTTAGAGTTCTCCACTTTGTCATTGTGATGTCCCAGTTTGTTTTGTTTAGTTATTTTTTGTTTGTTTTTTTAAGAGTTGGAGTCTTGCTATGACAGTGCAGTGGCCTCATCATATCTCATTGCAGCCTCAAACTCCTGGACTAAAGGAATCCTCCTAGCTCAGCCTCCCAAGTAGCTAGGATTATAGCTAGGATTATATGTGAGTTACTATGCCTGGCTAATGTTTTTGGTATGTGTGTGTGTATATATATTTAAAGGTAGATACACACACACCAAAAACATTCTCTCTATATATTATTTTTTTCCTTGTGTCTTTTTCTCCATACATATATGTGTGAGTGTGTGTGTGTGTATATATATACGTGTGTGTGTATATATATATATATATAAAGAGAGAGAGAGAAGGAGGGAGAGAGAGAGAAAGAAGAGGAGGGGAAGGGAGGGGAGGAAAATGAATTATTTTTATTTATGTTGCCCAGATTGGTCTTAAATTCCTGGCCTCAAGCAGTCCTCCCACCTTGGCCTCCCAAAGTGCTGGGGTTATAGGCATAAGCCATTGTGTCTAGCCACCTGTTTTTTGGTTTATGTAAATGTTATTTTTATTGTACATATTTAAAGTGTACAGTTTGTTTTTTTAAATGAGGAAATAGACTCAGCCAGCAGGTGTCAAGCCAGTGTTTGATTGCAGACATGTTTAACTTTAAAACTTTGCACTGGCTCGGCGCCTGTGGCTCAAGTGGCTAAGGCGCCAGCCACATACACCTAAGGTGGCGGGTTTGAATCCAGCCCAGGCCGCCAAACAACAATGATGGCTGCAACCAAAAAAAATAGCCAGGCGTTGTGGCAGGCGCCTGTGGTCCCAGCTACTTGGGAGGCTGAGGCAAGAGAATCGCTTGAGCCCAGGAGTTGGAGGTTGCTGTGAGCTGTGGTGCCACGGCACTCTGCCCAGGGGGATAGCTTGAGGCTCTGTCTCAAAAAAAGAAAAAAAAAATGAGGAAATAGACTCAGCCAGCAGGTGTCAAGGCAGTGTTTGATTGCAGACATGTTGAACTTTAAAACTTTGCACTGGCTTGGCGCCTATGGCTCAAGTGGCTAAGGCGCCAGCCACATACACCTAAGGTGGCGGGTTCAAATCCAGCCTGGGCTCACCAAAAAACAACGATGGCTGCAACCAAAAAATAGCCAGGCATTGTGGCGGGCACCTGTAGTCCCAACTACTTGGGAGGCTGAGGCAGGAGACTCGCTTGAGCCTAGGAGTTGGAGGTTTCTGTGAGCTGTGAAGCCACGGCACTCTACCCATTGGGATAGCTTGAGGCTCTGTCTCAAAGAAAAAAAAAAAAAAAGAATCTTTGCACTGAAACTCTGCATTACACTACCTCCCTTTCTTCTCTGTAGTTCTGGACATGGTTTTAGCAAGCTTGGATAGTATTTCTTAGCTCAGATCAGAGGGGTTGGGATTGAGGAACAGATGCTATAAGAAGTGATAGATAGGGCAGCACCTGTGGCTCAGTGAGTAGGGAGCCAGCCCCATATACCAAGGGTGGTGGGTTTGAATCCAGACCCCGCCAAACTGCAACAACAAAAAAAGTAGCTGGGCATTGTGGTGGGTGCCTGTGGTCCTAGCTACTTGGGAGGCTGAGGCAAGAGAATTGCCTAAGCCCAGAAGTGGAGATTGCTGTGAGCTGTGATACCACAGCACTCTACTGAGGGCAATAAAGTGAGACTCTGTCTCTACAAAAAAAAAAAAAAGAAGAAGAAGTGATAGATAGCAGGACAACTCTTAGAAGTAGAGCCTTCTAAGGCAAAATACCCTTTACTCCTTAGTAACTTGTAAATTCTGTAACAGAAGACAGTCATTGATTTGTGTAATTACTGAACCACAGATTTTTAGACATGGGTGGTATCAAGAAGAGGTCAAACCATATTTTATTCTCTGCTTCAGAAAGCAGGTGGTGTGTGATAAATTTGAAAAGGATTGTTTATCTTGGGTTAACCTCAAAGCAGAATCTGAGACAAGGATTTAGGTTCAAGTATTTTCTTTTGGAAATCATCCTAAGAAATAGGAGGGAGGAAGGGGGAACGGTAAAGCAGAATAGGAAGAAAGCCATTAAAAAATACATCATTGAAGTTGCTTCAAGGGCAATGGGGGTCGAAAATTTCCAGAACCTCCCAAGAAGCCTACAGAGCACCATCCAGGATTGTCTACTTGGACAATCTACTGTCTACTTGTCTGCTGGCTCCTGTGTCTTCTTGGTTGAGGGTTGTCTCTAGGTACCGTGTGTACATGGCTGACTGGACTCTCACTTTAGTGTCAGAGAAGGCGTTAGTATAGGAAGACGTGTGGTTGAGCTGGGTACACACACTGTGACCACAAGGGTAGTCTGAGCTTGCCTGCACTGTCCACCACAGCTGTATTTGAAATCATAGTGAGCCAAGTAGATGTGACACAGAGCATCAGATCTACTAAATACATTTCCATCTAGAACCTGCCAAAGAAAGTTTTGGTGCTTAGTAAGCTTCAGCTATCTAGAAAGGCAGGCATTACATAGAACCCCACATCCAAAGCTTTGCTAAACAGATGAGGCATTGCTGCATTATAGTTTTCTGTTTCAGATAAAGAGCCATCTCAGTGATTTTTATCTTTCACTGTAGGAATTGGAGGTGGAATCATCCATCAGCACGAATTGATCCATGGAAGCTCCTTCTGTGCTGCAGAACTTGGCCACCTTGTTGTGTCTCTGGATGGGCCAGATTGTTCCTGTGGAAGCCATGGGTGTATTGAAGCATATGCCTCTGGAATGGCCTTGCAGAGGGAAGCAAAAAAGCTACATGATGGTTGGTATCTTTCCTTTGTGGAATTAAGCAACCAAATGGTAGACAAGTATTTTGAAGTAGAAATTCCAAAGGGAGCTAAATGCTGAAGCCAGACCTTTTAACCTTTGCACTTCTTAGAGAGGAAGAGCAGGGTGCTCTCATCTGGAGCTCCACAGTGGCCTTGGTCCTCACCCGGAGTAACCCGGAGTAGTACTCTTCCCCTCCAGGGGTGGAGGTGGGCAGGGGTTTAGGGTTCCAAGATAACAGGGAAGATTTCTCTCATATTTGTTTTCTTAGCCACTAGCAGAGGGTGGGTGTTTACTACACATTTTAACAAAGAAGTAAATGAATGAATATGTTATAGTTTTTGAACTCTGATAGATTTATGTGAATTAAAGCTGTTTCTGGACATGTTATGAAAGTCAGAATAGTTTGTAGTCTAACGCATGAGAGTCATTTAATACCACTGCAATGCAGTGTGCCAAGTGCAGTGAGAATGATGGCCAAAGGATGTAGACAGATGCTTGTAAGAAGGAAACCGAAGTTCATTCCCTGCCCTCTCTGCACAGGGGAGGCGGTGCTGGGGGCTGTCCTGGGGCAGAGAGTCAAAGGATGAGTAGAATTAGCCAGGCAAGTGAGGACATTTGCAGGAGCTCTTGGAGGCATGGAAGCAGTGGTGGTATGTGAAGGGCAAGGCAGGGGGTAGTCAGCAAGAGGAAGCAGGACCAGCAGGGAATGGAGATGGCCATTAAATATTTTTAGAGAAAACTCATAGGTCTGAATTTTTAGAGATTTTTCACTAAACTGTAACTTTTTATTTTGGGGGGTATTGGGGAATGGTGGGTGAATGGAGGCTGACTTTAAGTGGGACAGTTCTAAAGTGCCTTCCAGGTTTCTGAGCCTGGGGTTCGGCATGGGAGAGGAGCAGGTTTGGGTGGAAGTGGGTGGTTGGGCGTCTGTGGACATCAGGTAGAAATGCCTAGGAGGTTGCTGGCTCCAGGGGTCTGTTGCTCAGGAGCTGTTGGCAGAGAGGTGGCAGTTAGACCTATGACTGAAACCCTAACAAAAGGCAAGAGATGGAATCTTGAGAACACCAGTATCTGGGGGGAGGGCAAAAGATGGAAGGAAAACCAGAATAGGGAGATGTCACAGAAGCCAAAAAAAGGGAGAAAGTTTCAAGAAGAGAGGGGTCAGCAACATCTTGAGCTGACATGAGTTAGAGAAAGTCGTTAAAGTTCATTGGCTTTGATCACAAGGATGTCACTCTTTTTTTTTTTTT